CAGTCCCCTCCTCTTCAACCTCTACATGCTCCCCCTTGGTGATCCGCAGATATGGGGTCAACTTCCACATCTACGCGGATGCCACCCAACTCTATCTCTCTGACTCCACCTTTGATTCCAGGACAATCCTGACAGACTGTCTGTCTGACATCAAGTCCTGGAGACCCAGATTCCTGCAGCTGAATTTCAGCAAGACTGAGGCTCTCCTAATTGGCTCTCGCCAATGCCTCCGCACCTCAGGCACTGGCAGCATCAGCATCCACGAATGCACACTCCACCTCACCAAGCCAGTCAGGAACCTGGGCGTCTTGTTCAACCCTCAAATGTCCTTTCTCACCCATATCCATGCCATGTCACATTCTGCCTTCCCCCACCTTCGTAACATTGACTGACTCCGCCATTGCCTCACCCCTCAGGCTGCCGAAACTAGCATACACGTATTCGTCACCTCAAGACTCGACTACAGAAACTCCCTCCTTGTTGGCCTTCCCATCTCTTGTCCCCACAAGCTGCAATTCATCCAGAACGCTGCAGCTCGTGTCCTCTCCGGCACAGGCTCCGCGAAACCATCAGGCACTGATGACCTGCTCCGGCCTGCTCCATGTCTCCTGCCCGACCCGCTCTACCATCAGCGGCCGGGTTTTCAGCTTCTCTGCCCCCACCCTTTGGAACTCCATCCAACAATCGCTTTGCCTTGCTCCCTCCCTTGCCTCCTTCAAGGCACGACACAAGACCCTCCTTTTCGAACATGACTTAAGCCACCCTCCTACCTCTCTGCCCTCCCTCATCCCAATCCCTGCCCCCCTCAACCAGCTCAGTTCCTGATCCCCAACTGTTCAGCTCCTTGGGACGTCCTTCCAACGTGAAAGGCGCTTTACAAATGCAATTTTGTTGTTGTAGTAATAGAACTAGCTATGGAATTCTACTTGTTGACAAGAGAAGTGAAGGAGTACAGTTTGGTAAGTTTGACAATACAAAAGGAGAGGGACAAGTACTTACTATGAAGTATTACAGCATGGTGCGAGAAAATAGCTCATCTGTCATGATCAGATAGCTCAACTTTGCCAGGAACGTAACTGCAAAATAAATTATCTTTGCACTTGAAATAGCACCCATTGTAACTAATATCTCAAGGCAAGGCACAGGTAATTGCTGTGTAGTGACTAACCTGATTCTATCTAAAACAAGGGATAAGCTTTCAACGTACCAAAGCAATACTGTAGTTCACAAGATAATTACCTCTCAATTGGTGTACTATGAATTAGTCCCTCTGCTACCTTGAAACAGTTTGTAACAGCTAGTAACAGCACTGCCAGGTTTACCAAAATGTGATTGCATCCATCAATAGAAATTATAATCCAGAATTAATTGTTGCTTCCAGCTGCTAAAAGAGAACATCATCTAGGAATTATCCATAATTGTCTTTTTTCCTAGCAGATTTGATTCAACCCACACTTAATATAACAGGATAAAATTATGAAAATGATTCATCTTTTGTAAAATCACATGGACCATCACATATCTGTCTGCCCCCTCGTCATGTGCCTTTGCAGTCACGCGAATATTCACCAACACTGTATTATGTGCCAAGAGACAGGAATACCACAAGGATATTTTTTCCACCCCCACCTACCCCACCTTAACAAAGCTTGAGAAATCTATAATTCAGTTAATTATTTGGGGGGTAATCCAGTCAAACAAGGAGTCAGTCAGATTAAATCTTTCCACCACACACAGAATACTGTGTAAACCTAATGAGAACATATGAAAAGATTACACCACCTGCAAACAAAATAACCCCCCATCCCCCATCGAGAAATAAAACATTACAAGTAACATAATGTGATATTACAACAAGATTTATAATTTTTTGGAAATAGTTATTGTGGTGATTTAGTAATTCTTGAAAACAATTGTCAAGTGTCATATATTGTAATATAAACCATGTCAGGGTTTATATATTTCTCCATGATACAGAAAGACCATCTTCACACAATGTGCTCCTGGGCAGTAGGCCTGATAGACTGGTAACAGTTTTCTCTGAAGCTGTTACTAACTCACAAGAAAGTGCATTTCTGTATGGTGGAAATCTTCCCGATAACCATAATGGCATCATTAGCTGGCATTGACCCAGTAACAATGCTTGACTGGCAGATTTCCCCACAGGATCCCAGTCTCAAATAACAGCACCACCCCTTCCCATCCATCATCCCCTTTTCACCCCCCCTAAAAAGATGTTTTGACCAGAACTCGCAAAGGTTGACAGGAATCAAGAAAGGAATATTGCTGCGTTACTCAGGTGTACCTCTGCTGAATTGAACCATTAACATAATGAGCAGAGGAGTCCGTGAGATGAATCACTCCTCCCTCTCAACCAAGCTAATCTGACAGGGTGCAGGTGACAGGAAAATTGCGCATTTTCACATTATTGTCTTATCTACTACCTAAGGTAAACGAGGTTAGCACTAAAGCCACTGAATAATTACTGGTAATAAAAATTAAATTGATACCAAAGCATGGAAGAAAGACCTGATTTCTTACTATGCTCACCAATGTCTGTCATTTTCCAGTGCTTAGTATCCCCATAAGATTAGCAGAAATGCAAAATATTAATAACATAAACTTCTAACAACCTGAACTGCTGGAATCAATTTTCAGATACTGTGCCAGAGTATATGGTTGAAGACAGTAGCAAAACAATAGAATGAACATAAGGTATAGGAATCTAAAATATATTATCTATTTTAGGTGCTGCAACTTTTAAAACAAACTAATTTCTTAAGACAAAAAAATACATTTTCTTAAAGGCACCATGGTAACATTTCTTGAAAGCCAGATTCACTTTTAGCTCACATCAAGACTAGTTGTCCATAAAGCATCTGGTTCATCATGTAAAAATCTCTAACATATTAATCGATCAAAACAAACATATTGGACGTTTGTGAATGCTGAAAATAGTCTGTATCCCTTAACTTAATTACTGGTGTTATTCAAAAATATATGAACATATTTGGAACGGAACGTTAACTAAATATCTAGAGCCAAACAATATTTCATACACCTAGTTCACAACAGAATGTGGTTTCTTTTCATCTGCAGTTTCTCTAAAGTGCGAAACAGACCTGCCTCTGAACTTAACCGAAGGGCACATATCAGGGAAGTTTTCTGATTAGTCCTGATTTTTTCTGATTAGTCCTGATTTTTTCTGAAAACAATCCCACGACTATGCAAGGAGCAGACATATATTTGCATGATTTAGATTTTAATGCACAAGGGCATACTAGTGTGCCTAGCTTAACGAGTCTATAAACATATATACTGTGCCTTCTAGGCAATGAAAGGCTTCTAAATAAAAGGGTGAAGACGTACATTTAGGATGATTTCCTATGTAGTGGGAATCAGGGCATTATAATTAGTGTTCTTCAATTCAGCTTCAGCTGTTATAATTGAGCCAACACAACACTATTCCATCCCTAGGTCACAATCGCGATTAGTCTCAAGTCAGAACAGTTCTACTGGAGTGAGCTTCATAATTGATTGTCAGTCTGAATACGCATAACTATAACATGCTAAATTACAGTATGACAATAGCATACAGTTATTACAATGAAATCCCAACCCCATTTTTACATCTGCCTTGTTTCGCACAATTCAACCTAGTTTTTTTATGAAGTATTGATGCAGATATAATATATCAGAAATGCTGTCAGGAACATCTGCAAAACTAATATTAAGTTAATATTAAAAAGAATAAGCAGTTTTGTCGTTTAAACCTCATGAGCAAAACCTTTAATGCTAATTCAATACAGGTTGCAAAAGTCTAATCTTACATAACAAAGAGCAATTTTTCCAAGCTACAATGATCACGGTTTTGATTAACTTTCTGCTGGCTGTCAGTATCTTCTGAGCACTGTGATCCTGATGGCTATAGAGCTCTCAAAATGAGCATGCTATTGATCAGCAGTGACCTTCAAAGTACAGTAACAATGCATTCCAACTGCAGGAAAAAAAATCCAAAACATAGCTTTTTGCAGCAATTATTACTCGAGAAATCTTAAGCATATGTATTAGTCAAGTTTTGCATTATTCATGAGGGAGAGTTAATTCACATTTCACTTTAAATTATTTCTCAGATTAGTTAGGTTATTGTTATTGTAATAAAAAAGTGAAATTGTGGATCTTGAAAGAGGCTGTTGACAGGTACAAAGGATGCCGTTTACAAACTGGATCCATTTTCAGTGCAGCTGCATTGTGCTGCTCCAAGTTTACATAGATAACTGCTTTAAATCCCAGTCTAACCATCTGTTTGTAATTTTAGTTGAAATTCATCTGTTATGTTTGGGCGACTGTGTCAGCGCTGAAGACCCAGCTGCACAGCAAACCGTTCAGTTCCAATAAAAGTCAAAGGTTTGCCACCATCCAGTTCAGCCAAGCACTGAAACAGATGATCTGTGGCTAGGTGACTACTGTGCCCAAGCAACTGTAGGAATTTATTGATGGTGGGCACTGATGCTCTCCATTGATGCAGCTGCGAGCATTTACAAGCATTACTGGCCGATTAATAACAATTCCACGTGTCTCTAACCTTCCAATCAGTTTGAGAATCATTTATCACACACACATCTGGTAGTTTTCCACATATGCCAATAGATGTTTGACCCAGATTGCTGGATCAGCTTCCAGATGATAAACTCTCCAAACTTCACTAATACGTTAGGATTATCAGAATCATTTTGAGTCATTCAAATATATGCTTGCATGAAAACTACTGATGTAACGTAGATGCTTAATCTCATTAACTTTTCACTGCAAAGTTGTCTTCATTCCCAAATCTCTTCAACAGAAATCTTTCAGATAATAAATAAAGCACATTGCCTTATTTAATGTTTCAAATGGGTAACAGATTTATATGTCTATTTGGCTAAGAAAACAAGTTTTGTTTTAGATGGCTAAGTTTTTATTGCACGTTATACTGAAGTAAGTAGAGATCATTTTCATACCTTTGCAAAATCACGGACATCAAAAAGGTCAAATGCTTCAAAAAGTTCACTTTTTCGCATTCCAAATGTTTCGCAACACGCAGTGAGGAATGTGCGGATGTTCTTCAAGCAAAGGAACTGAAAAAAAAGATACGAATGTAGTTATCATGTGGAATAATCATTTGGAAAGCAGATGTGGGTTCTTAAGAACCTCTTTCCAAAAGCTATGGAGATACCAATAGAATAATCGTGAAATATTTAACACTGCTTTTGAATTTAGTATTGTAGTTCTTATTAAAATCTTTAGTTAAAACAAGAATTAAAGAATGCTTTATTGGCATTGTTCAGGATTGTGAAATTGCTCTCTGTGTACAAATAGGGAAAACATCAATGCAGCATTCAGATTTCTACTTTATCTAATCAACTTAATATTGACTTATGCACCCATATTGACTTTTAATGCAACATCTGCTAAGAGACCCTAAGGTAGCGATGGGCCAGTCAAGTAGTGCCACATTTCTGTCTTCCAATATATTACAATTTCAAGGCTCAGCTCATCCAATTCCTGATCTCAACTGTACAGTGGAAGATGGTATTCGGCAAGAAAATCAATTGGGGTTCACAATATGAGCACTGCTTTGGGATTTTCTCCGTTCCCTCAAGGCACAAGTGCGAGCTGCCGAACGTGCCTGGACCAAATCCAAACTAACGATCCATCGGCAGATTTGGCTTCACCACACTAAGATCTACCGCTGCGCTCTTGCCTCCGCCAAATCCTCCTTCTACTCCAAGGTTATCTTCTCTTTTCCACCACTAACTGTCTCCTTCCACCTTCCCATACCTCGCCCATCCTCTCCTCAAACTCCAACTGTGAGGAGATGCTGGACTTCCTCAAATCTAAAATTGAGGGGATACATTCAGCCACCTCAGCCCCGTCCACAGTCACCCCACATCACTTCTCCCTCATGATCCACCCCCACCCTGTACTCCTTCAACCCTATCTCTCCCTCCTCCCTCACCACGACTGTCCGCAAACTCAAACCCACCACCTGCTCCCTCGATCCCATACCCACCTCTCTCCTCATCTCCCAGCTCCACCTTCTGGCCCCCCATCCTGTCGGATGTCATCAACCTCTCCCTATCCACCAGTTCAGTTCCCACCCCCTCTAAAACGTCCATCATCACTTCCATCCTGAAAAAACCTTCCCTGGGTCCATCCCTCCTCTCCAGCTACCGCCCCATCTCTAACCTCCCATTCCTCTCCAAGGTCTTGGAACAAGTCGTCGCGTCCCAGCTCCGCTCCTTTCTCTCTCGCCATTCCCGCTTTGAACCCCTCCAATCCGGCTTCCGCGCTGCCCACAGCACGGAAACAGCCCTAGTCAAAGTCACTAATGACATTCTGAACATCTGTGATCAGGGTTCCCTCTGCCTCCTTGTCCTCCTTGACGTCTCTGCCGCCTTCGACACTGTCGACCACTCCTTCCTCATACACCGCCTCTCCACTTTACTCAATCTTCACGGACCTGCCCTTGCCTGGTCCGATTCCTATCTCTCTCACCGTCTCCACTTTGTTGCCTCTAACGGTTTCTCTTCCAGCCCCCGCACTGTCATGTCTGGCGTCCCTCAGGGCTCTGTCCCTGGCCCTCTCCTCTTTAATATCTACATGCTCCCCCTTGGTGACATCATCCGCAGACATGAAGTCAACTTCCACATGTATGCGGATGGCACCCAACTATATCTCTCTGCCTCCACCCTCAACTCCAGAACCACTGCTGTCCTGACAGACTGTCTGTCAGACATCAAGTCCTGGATGAGGGCAAATTTCCTACACTTGAATGTGAACAAGACTGAGGCCCTCCTGATTGGCTCGCGCCAGCGCCTCTGCACCTCAGACTCTGGCAGCGTCAGCCTCCATTGTTGCACACTTCAACTCACCAAGCCAGTCAGGAACCTAGGGGTCTTGTTCGACCCTCAACTGTCTTTTCTTCCCCACATTTAAGCCATGACCTGCTCTGCCTTCCCTCACCTCCATAATATCGCCCGACTCCGCCACTACCTCAGGCCACTGAAACGCTTGTTCATGCCTTCATCACCTCCAGGATCGACTATGCAAACCCCTGCTTGTCGGTCTTCCCGGCTCCTCGCTCCACAGGCTGCAGATAATCCAGAACTCTGCAGCCTGTGTCCTCTCCCGCCCAAACTCCGTGACCCCATCTCCCCCACTCTCACCTGACTCCATTGGCTCCCTATCCAGTTTAATATCCTGGTCCTCACACACAAAGCCCTCAATGGCCTCGCCCCACCCTACCTCTGCGATCTCCTAACCCCCTACCAACCCACCGGCTCCCTCCGCTCAGCCGGCTCTGGCCTGCTCCACATCCCCCAACCCACCTGCCCCACTTGTGCCTTGAGGGAACCTCTGGAACTCCATCCCCCAGTCACTCCACCTCGCCCCCTCCTTAGCCTCCTTCAAGTCCCGCCTCAAGACCCTCCTCTTCAACCATGCCATCGGCCACCCCCCTTCACCTCCCCTCCCTTCCCCCCCCAATCCCAGCTCGGGTCTGAAATGCTGTACTCTGTCCAGCGCCTTGGGACGTCCTCCCAACGTGAAAGGCGCTATACAAATGTAATCTTTTTGTTGTTTCAGCAGCAGCACAGCAAACAACAACAACAAATTACATTTGTATAGCACCTTTCAAGTCAGACAGTGAGTAGGTGTCTGGTTGTTCTTGGCCATGGAGTTATATAGTCCAGAGAGAGCATGTGAGGAGTGTAAATAGGGTGAGCACTACATTTGAATACAAAGGATCACCAAAAAAAACTTTCTGCACTAAAAGACAAAACGCCAAAGGCAAAACAACAGCAGCTTTTTGAAACATAAATTCCGCCCAATCAATGAAACAATGTACTGAACAATAGTTTTTCCCTTCAGAATAAAAATATCTGTACGATCATCTCTCATTTTTTAAATCCAGGCCTGAGAGACTTACAATTGTTCTGTGGTGTCTCCTATCGTATTTGTGCATACCCACAGCTGCAGTTGGAACTTATATCCAAAGGCCAATAGCAGAAGTACAGGCAAATTGATCCAGAGTCATGTCCAAACTATTTTAAATGATTTCAAAGAAATCTAGCCAGTTCTTTAAGTGAAGTAAATACAAAGATCAGGCAGCACTTAGATTTGCCATTTCATTTCCACATCCAATTGCAGATTTTTTTTAATCCAAGAAATAACACAATCCCAAATAATTAACTTTTATGCAATGACTGCATCTGTACCCAAACTTCATCTGAGCCTCTTGATAACTATGTTTTTTGCATGAATTTTTCATCCATTTTACCAGAACTTTAGCTTGAAATCCAAAGTACAGAATAGATTAATTTAATTCTAATTCACTGTACCGTCTCCACAAACACCCACCTGAATAAAATATCAGGATATTAGAAACCTCTGATCTACTATACATATTGGTGAGAATCCTACGCAGCAAATTCATTTCAATACAGATAACTGTACTTTACATCGGAAGTGAGAATGGGAAACACATTTACTCCATAGATAGGGTAAAACTTGCTAAGGGGAAAGTTGAAAGATATCTTTAGGTATTAGTTGACTCATAGTTCGCCATGTCAAAACAGTTTGAGGCAGCAATAAACAGGGCAACGAGGATACTGCGTTATATTGCTAAATAATTGAGTTCACATTTATGCTACATCATCAATTTGTTGTAAATTTGGATACTAACTTAAAGAAACAAAATATTTTAACCGTCAAATGAAACATTTTGTTGCCTCTCATCGAATATTTGGCTTAACATTTTGTTGCTGCTCATCAGAATATGTGAGCAAGCCAGTAAAATTCAGGTCCACAATTTCAAAATTGAAAGAGGAAGTAATAATGCTACTCCAGCTTGTATAATTGGCCTCCAGTATCTCCAGTATTGAGAAGGGGGAAAACAGGTAACTTTCCTGCTCCTTATCATTCTGAATGACACCTGGTGGGAGGGATAATGCATTGACATCAGATGAGGAGAGAGGTATAAATCACATAAGAATGGACCTGTGGATCCGGCTCCAAACCTGGTTGGAATCACCACCTTCAGGATTGAAGGGGAAAGCAAGAGCAACAATTAGAAAGATGAAAAAAAAAGCCTCAACCAAGTTCTCTGCGGCTGCCTAGCACAATAAACCTTGTGGGTGGTACCTAGCAAATTAGCAGGGAGAGTTTCTAGAAATATTAAAATTGAGGTTACTCTGAACAGGCTTTCACATCATTTGTAGGGAGAAATGTCACTTGGTTATGCAACTATTTATGTAACGTTTCAGAGCATGCAGACAATGGCAAATTATCAAATTTAGCGTCAACTTTGAAGTCAGTTTCTGTAGTTCTGAAAAGAACTTACAAAACAAAATCGGTTTCAAAAATTAAGGCTGTATTTAAGAATTTGCAAAACTCTAGAGCCTCTGAAATACCATGTACTGTAATAGAACAAATCTAGACTCAGATGGAATTTCTCCCCGATGGTTCTGTCACCCCTGCAGTGTCCATCTTGCTGACCTCCTGAATGAGACCTACACCATTGCAGCAATGTCAACTTTTTTTGAGCATTGTTGTTGCAAACAGTGATGTTTCAAAAAAACTGGAAGCATGGAATACATTCTGATTCAGGATTAACAAACTGTTCCACACAGGAAAATGAAGTAATCGCATGTGTTTTTCCAATATAAAAGTGGAAGTTTCTTTCTGTTTGTCCCTGCAGTCAGGAGATTCTGCATAAATTAAGGAACTTAGGAGGAGGCCATCGAGCATATCAAACCTGTTCCACTCAACCCATTTAGCAAAATTCCGATAGAATCCTTAAGAAACAGTAACAATGTAAAATTTATATGCATATTCATCTCTGTAGGTTTCATTCTGTTTCTCCTTCTTCCCCACTCCCATGTATAAACTCACTGCAGGGTTCACTCTGTAATTCTATACGGTTAGAATGCTTCACTCTGACTTCCTCATGGGAGCAACTTCAATCAAAGCTATGTCCCTCAGCCTATGTGCCAAAAATGAACCATCTGTCTGACCTCCAATTACATCATCAACACTAACACAAGTGCACAGACTCGGTCACTGCTGTTATTGCAAC